AAAAAACAGATTTTACAAGTCCAAAAATAGTTTGGGATAATGATTTGCCCATTCCCGCAACAAAACTCGGAAAATGCCCAGCACGCATCTACTCGTCGAGTGCATGATCCTACTCGACGAGTAGATGAATTTTGCCTTACTCGGATGTGAGTTTTCCCCTTGCACTCGGCGAGTCCAGTCGAACAGTGAGCAGTTTTTCGATTTTTAAGCCGTTTGCATCAAATATAACCGAAAACAATCCTAGGCTCTGATACCACTGATGGTTTTTGAGCATTCTAACACTCCTATGGTGTACATGCAACCCTATAAACCTTGAATCTATGTTTCTCTAATATACATGCAATTTGATTTTTCAAGGTTTACTTTCCTAACTAGCATGGCATGGGGAATATGTAATATAAATTAGTAGAAGTACATACCTTCTTGTTGCTTGGATTCCTTCAAGACTTTGTGAGCCTAGCACCCCAAATGTTGTGCCTCAAATGCTTCACACAACACTACAAGACTTGGAATAACTTGAGAGAATACACTTGCACTCAAAATCGGTTATGCCCTCTTAGAACTCACTAGTGGTCCCATTTTGCTAGCTATAGGGCTCATTTTATAGTGTTGTCACAATTAGGGTTTACACATGAATGCCCTTAATTGTCATGACTCTTGATTTCTAATGATCCATGGGTTTGTAACTCCCATGAACTATCCATGGAGCTCCAAATGGTTATAACCCAACTCCATAAACCATGGATCATAAATCCACCATAAAGATTAGATGATTGTCATAATCAACCCTTATATTTTTAATTAGTCTCATTTTGATCACCAAATTAATTCTAATTAATACTTGATCAACACTAATTAAATAATACTATTATTAATATATTAGAACTTATAATATATTAATAATCACAAGTGTCCTTTCTCTCATTTAGTCTATCCAAGTATTGCAATGCCATGCAACCCAAATGGACCATGCCGGGTCGGGTCAAGTACATACCAAATAAAGTTATGGACTTAGACACTATATCCAACAGCAATAGCAAAAAGAAACTACAAAGAATTCTCTAATGTGGTATCATTCGATGCTACATACAAAACAAACAAGTAAGTAATACTTAATTTATTTAATATTTATATATTAAAATATTTCCATTTAGTATTTATGTTAAATATTTTAATGATTTCAGATATATATATGATCTTTGTTCCATTTACTGCAATTGATAACCACAAAAGATGTGTCACAATTGGTGTTGGTTTGCTAGCTAAAGAAACAACATATTTCTATACATGGCTTCTCAAATGCTTTCTCAATTGCTTTGGTACACAACCTAATGTTGTGGTCACTGATCAAGATTCAGCTATGGCTAAAGATGTAGAAACCGTTTTTAATGAATCAACTCATCGTCTTTGCATGTGGCACATTGGAAAGAAATTAACAGATGAGGTAAAATTGTATTATAATGTTTAAATAAGTTTTCATTTATAATTTGACTTATAATTTGATTAAAAACTTTTTTTAATGTCCCATTTATTCATTCACAGATGAAAGCATTGAACTTTTGGGATCTGTTTATATAACTGTATACGGACATTCATACAGGCCTGTATTTTTTTTTTCAAAAAAAAAAATTAAAATAAAGCATCCAATGTATTATGACCAATGATTCACTACATACTTGATATATGACCAATTATTCATTTGATTTTTACATATGATTCATATGTGATTCACTTGTAATTTGCATGTGAATTACATATGATTCATATGTGAATAACATGTGATTCATATGCGATTCAGTTGTTATTTACATGTGAATCACTACATACTTGATAAATGTATTAAGGAAGAAAATTAAGTTGTATAAAGGGGACAAAAATATGAAAATAAAACATACTTTATAGCCAACTCTGTATTGTCACAAAAAGTGTAGTTGATCACCTGTGTTATTATAATACTAAAACAACATTCAAATGTGAACATTAAATATCACGTTTTCAATTTATTTATTAAATACTTTTTGTTTTGTAGGTTTCTGCAAAAATAATAAAATGAGACTAACTTTAGAAAAAGAATGCAAGGTCTAATTTGGAATTCTTGTATTGATCCGGATATATTTGAAGAAAAGTGGAAGTATCTAATAAAAAGATATAAACTAGAAGATAACAAATGGCTGAAAGAGATGTATAATATTCGAACAAGTTGGATTCCGACTTATTTTAGAGACACTGCACTGTCAGGTCTGATGAGGACAACATCAAGATCAGAGAGTATAAATAGCTTCTTCAAAAGATTTATGTCAAAAGATTCAAATCTAATTATGTTCATGTGCAAATTTGAATCTGCAATGGATGAGCAAAGAAATCTTCAATCAACAAATGACTTTAATTCCAAAAATAAAAACCCACCAATTCAAACAAATCTTCAATTTGAAGTACATGCATCAAAGTTCTACACACATAATATATTCAAATTATTTCAAAAAGAAATAGAAGATTCTGTCTGGACATGCTCAGCCACACCATATGAGAGAGTTCAAGATCATAACACATACTTTATTATTGAGCAAATAATGGATGAAGATATACAAAACAGAAGTGTGTTCTTCAACAAAAATTCATATATTTTCAAAAGTCACAACAGAAAGCAATTTCAATACCAGGTATATGTATGTTATTAAATAACTTTATTTATGAATGAAATTCATATGTGAATTACATGTTATTCAGTTGTTATTAAAATGAAAAATTTTATTTGATTAAGTTATGAAATATTATAAATTTAAATGAAAAACAATATAATTAACATGTGTATTGTATAAATATTTTCCAGGTTAAGGTATTTCCAAATGAAGAAACATATAAATGTTCTTGCCTGGTATTCAAACAATATGGAATTTTGTGCAGGCATATACTATGTGTTATGAAATCAAATTTTGTAAAAAATATACCATCAAAGTATATGTTGAGAAGATGGCAGAAAAATATAATAAGACCTAACGAATTGATAAAAAGTCATGGTATTGATGACAATATTAGTGGATGTGAAAGAATGATACAAGATGCATATTCTATAGTCACAGAATGTATCAATATTATTGGACATGATGCTGAAGCAATAACTCAATTTCTTCAATGGCAAAAAGAAATTCTAACCAAAGTTGAATCAAATCCACCAAAGAAAGATAATCGTACCAAAAATCAAAAGTTGGATTCAATGATTGGAGTATCAAAGCCAAATGTACCTACAATAAAGAATCCAAAAGATATTACATACAAAGGATGGGCAACAGGAAAGAGAGTTAAGAGTCAGAGAGAAATAGCAATGGAAAATGCTGGGAAGAATTCAAGATTTTGTTCTTATTGTGAAAAGAAAATCACTCCGAATGAAAAGCATGACAGAAGAAATTGTCCAAAAAAAATTGAAGATGAATTAAGAAAGAAACAAGAAGCAGAAAAAGAAACTATAAGAGATACAGGTAATACTTTTTATTCTAGTTAATACTTTTTTTTAACATTTTAAGATATATTGATAACAATAATATTTTATTAATATATTTTATAATTTTACTTTTAGACTACATTCAATGCGCCAGATGGAAATTAGCCAGTAGCTTTAGATATGAAATTGGATGGGAAAAGCTCAAATGTGGGTCAATGGAGGGGCAAATAGGGAGACATTGGGCTTGAAATAGTTACACTGCAATTTATAAAGAAAATAAATGCAATTGATATTGACTGAGTATATGCATCTCAAAGGTAATATTAATAAATAATATTTTGAATCTAATATGTCATTCATATGTGATTCAAAAGTAACATATGAATGATGTCTAATTGACATTAACATTTACATTCACATATGAATAAAATATGTGATTAATAAAATATTTCATTCATACAAAGTTCTATTTCAAAATACAGTATTTTTGAAGATCATAATTTCACTACATTTTTACCTTGTTCAACAATACAAATAATTTAGAAATACATATTCATTTTTTCCTTGTGTCAACATTAGATGCTTATTAAAAAAAATTTCATTCTTCTTTATCAGCATTATTTCCTTCCACACCTGAATATAATTAAAAAAAATTATTAATAATTTGTAATAATCAAACATATGTTATTCATAAATATGTAATATAACTTACATCCTTTTAAATATTGTCGTTTTTTTACTTTCACAGGGGCATTTTTGTCTTTCACAGGATCCTCTACTTTCTTATCATTTGTTTCCTGCATTACAACATCTTTTCCTCTTGTTGCAATTTCTTTTTCACAATGAGGGACATTTTTGTCTTTTATGTACTTCTTTAAAGAAAAAGATCTTTTGGCAACTTTGGCAACAGATTCAGCATTTTGTGGAATTTCCTTCACCATATTACTGATTCTTGAAGACCTCCTCTTTTTGATCTCTTCTCCTATTCCAAAAGTGAACACAATTCTTGTTATACAAATATATTTTAAAAAAACATATGTGATTTAGTAATTATTACATATGATTCATAAATTTAAATATTTTTTAATAAATAATATTTCGATTTCCTTACCTTCTCCTTGAATGCTTTTGCCTCCAATATACTTTTTTTGTACATCATTTATATCTCCACCTTGATTATTGTCACAACATTCAACATCATCATCATTAACTTTCTGATTATTATGATCATCATTATCACCTTGATTTTTTTCATTATCATCACCTTTATCATCTTCATCATCTCCAACCTCATCATTTAAAATTTCTACGAAACTACTTTCCAAATGATTTAATATCACATTTTGTGAGAAAGTACTAATTCCATTCTTAATCAACAAATTTAACTTCCTACACTTCATCAGAATCATTTCTTGATAATCCTAAACCAAAAATAATTTAAAGTTTATATAAACATAAATAATAAAATATTACAACTATCAAATAATGCATGTTTTATTATTATTATTATTATTATTATTATTATTATTAAATTTACCTCCTCATTCAATTCTTCTTGTATGAATTCATCATTCAATTCCCCTGTTCCAAATTCACCAATTTCTTCTTTCTCATAATCTTCTCTGATCTTAACCTTCTCTATAGTCCAGTGGCATATGACTGGACGTGTTCTCTTAACTTTTAAAACTTTAGAACTCACTCTATCTACATAAAGTTACTACAAAATAAAAAATAAATTTTCAATTTGAACATCTGTTATAAATATGAAAATTATATTTGACCAAATAAAATTCCTTTTATAATCATATATGATTATAGCTATAAATATTGAGATTAAAATTTGATTACAAAATATTAAAATAAAATTTAAGTTACTATACATACCACTAAATAAGCAGATGGTCCATTAAAAAAGGATGTCGAAGAGGACTGATCAAAAGATTCTTTGGTTTTAACCAAACTGTCTATCAAATATGAGCACCAGTCAATGTTTTTGATTTCTGTCTTTTTCGTTATGTATTGAATTGGGTAGATGTTTGCTTTGCCAGATGAACTTGTTTCAATTAAACAGTTAATCAACAATGCTAAAAAATTCAGCTTAAAGTTCATATCTGATTTGTTGCTCGAAACAATTTTCATCTTTATCTCCTTCAGTCGAATAATGCTCTTGTTATCAAATTGTTCTGTCCATTTCTCATAACTGTTATCATCTGCAGTTCTAAATGGAAGACTTGAAAATTTTGTCTTTCCTAATGGAAATCCAAGTATTTGATTGACTGACTCTCGAGTAACATCAATCACACCTCCTTCCATAACAATTTTCTTTGTTTTTGAATTAAACTTCTGAAGAACAAAACAACTTAATGCCCCTGGCACATCTATCATTTTCATCTTTAGAATATCGCCAAAACCCATCTTTCTAACACAATCCTTTTGAACATCACTGAATCCTTGTATAACAGATAACAAAGATCCAGGTGAGCACCTATCAAATACAACAATTAATTAATTAGTTTAATTTATATTTCATTAAACAAAATTAGTTACTTTTTAACTAAAACTTTAAAGTACATTATAAGGTATTGTCCTTTTCAAACTAATATGTTATTAATTATAAAAATTTCATTTGAATATTATGTAAATTATAATTTGATTCATCTGTAATGTAAATAAAATGTATTTCTTACATATATTTGATATATAATTCATTTGATAAAAATATAACAAACTATAAAACACATTGTTATTCATATAATTCATTTAAAATTATATATATTAAAAATATAACAAACTATCAATGCTTCCTCTAATTGCAAAAATATAATACTATAAAACACATTCTTATTCATATGTGATTCAGATCTGATTATTACATTCTTGTTTTTTTTTTCATTTTACCCTAAACACAAAAGACAAAACAATGGGTATTTCGTTATATGTTTCTTAATAACATTTGAAACACATGAAAACCACCAGTCTAATCATATCTGATTGATTTCAGAAAGTTGTCTTCTATAATATATGATCACTCAATTTCAATTTCAAATTTCATTTTTTAGTAAAACATTTTTATCATAATAAATGTTAAATCACATTTGGTTTAAAACATAATTTATAGTTTAATCATAAAGGTATACCTGTTTCGGATTGTATCAAATTCTTTATTTACTTTCTTCTTTTTACTTCTCTTTATCTGATTTTTTTGAGACTCTGAATCTTGATTTTCATCAAGTTTTTTCTTTCTTGTTAAAGAAACAGCTTTTCTCTTTCTTCTCCTCTGAGAACTTTTTTGTTCAGGTACATTCTTTGATGATTCTTTTTCTTCAGTAACTCCTTTTTCGTTTGGTTTAGGGCTCTTTGGTATGAATAAGCATATATATAATCACAAAATTCCATATAAAAACAAATCAATTTATTATACATCAAAAAATACCTTTTTGAAATATCCTTCTCGCTGTTGATTTTGTGAATCGTTTCAAAGTACTCTCATTTTCAACATTTTCTTCTTTATTTTTGTCTATTATGTATAAAAAAATCATATATCGTTAAAAAACATAAAAAGATAATATTTCCTATTTTTGGTTCATATGCATGTATAAATTGAGATTACTAAAGTCATTTTCAACGGTCAAAATATAATAATAAACGATCTTTAAAATATAATGAAAAAATTAAAAAAAAAAGTCAATAAAAACACTATATCACATTTAAAACTAAATTTTATTAACTTAAATCGTTCAATAACAGTTTGGATTCCGAAATCTGGTAAGTCAAACTCATTACGGATGTAAAGTTGATTTACGATTAAAAAAAAAATTATATAATACATAGTTTTTTACCTTGATAAGAAGCATCTTTTCTGGTTGACGACATTTTTGATTCTATTAAAGCCTTTTCCTTTCGATTCAGCAATTATCGAAGAAGATTTATGGATTTTTTTTGAGGAATTAGGGTTTCTACTTCAGAAAGTATGGAGTAAGAGACAGAGATACAGAGAGAGAAAGATAGATAGAAAAAGTTTTAGAGGGAACATAAAGTATTTATGTTCGAAAATGAACCAGTTTCTTTCCATTTTCATTATTACCCCCGTGTTTTTTAAATATTTTAACTTTACATCCAGTTTTTTATTTAATTAAAAATTTTTGACCATAAATTTTGACAACATGTAAATAAAAAATATTTAATCCTATAGCTTGTTTTATAGTTTTACTTTCTTATTTATTATTTATTTTACATTTTTCATTTTATATTAAAAAATTTCAATTGTATATGTTAATTTAAAAATAATAAAATTTATAAGTAACATTTTTTTAAAATTATTAGGCTTTAATTTATAATATGTTGGTATTGAATTTCAGTTTCTTTATGTAAAATAAACATTTAGAAATAGTTTTTTCTTCTAATATTTAACTTAAGTGCTGTATATGGGATTTTGTTGTGAATATTGATTTTTGTAGGGGTTATTGGTGTTGAAATAATTATTTAATTACTTGTGTTTTTTTTAACAAACATTATATACTCTAATAAATAAGTTTTTGTGTGAATCGATATGAAATATCCATATGCTGGTGGTTGTTTATGTTGGATTAGGTGTCTAAGCCCATAACTATAATTGGTATGTACTTGAATTGATAGCAGCACAGTCCTTTTGGGTTGCCCTCAACCTAGCAACTGGACAAGGAAATTATGAAAGGAGAGATATTAATAAGATTAATAAATTAATATAAATGATTTATTAATATGTTAATAGATTAATATATTAATTAGAAATCATTATGTTTAATTAATAGTTAGCCAGAAATTAATCAGAATTAATTTTGGGGTTAAAAGTATTAATTATAAAGTGCAGGGACTAGTTTGCAATTATCTAATAGTTAAGTGGAAGGCTCCAGAACCTCCTTGGAAGGAGGTGGACGAAATCCATAGGGGAAACCCTAGAGATTTCGTCCAAGGGGTCCAGATAAGGCCCTTGGATCTTGCTTAGGCCCTAAGCAAAGGATAACTAGGGTTTTCCCTAAACCCTAGATCCCTCAGCTATTTAAGGAGCCTCCTGGCTTACATTTGAGGTGACTGATTTCTTTGGAAGAAACCCTAAGGCCGAAATTGCATACTCTCTCCATCCTCTCTCCTCCAAGTTTCCTTCTTGCTAGTTCTTGGGTGTGATTCCATTAGAGGCATTACATTTGTGGTGCTAAGCTTCCAAGAAGATCAAGATCAAGATCAAGAGGATTATCAATTGTTTGCTATAACAATTGAAATGTATGTAACTCCTAAACCCTAGTTTGTTAATTTCGAAATTAGCCTCTCTCCTCTAGGGTTCTTGTTTTGCAATTCAAAGTTATATGTTCAATAGTTAAAACATAGATCCAAAGTAGGTTGCATGTGAACTTAGGAATTGTTTTCTAGTTTATTTGTTTTACCTAAAACCCATCAGTTTATCTGTATTAAGTTGCTAAAATTTTTGATTTTTGACATATGTAAATTGCATGTGATTTAAATGTTAAACACATATGTGATTTGCAAGTGAATCATATGTAATTCATATGTGATTTACATATGAATCACATAATGATAACAATAATAGGCATATTGGCGTATAACATAATATATCCTTAAAATAATATATCCTTAAAATAATGCGCTCTACTTGTAATTAAACTTTAAATTCTCTTCATTTTCAAGTTTTGATTTTTAATAAATATAATTTATATGTGATTCATTTGTAATTTACATTTCAATAATATACGCATTTTAGGACCAAAATCAATCCTTTTTATTATTAAGCTGAATTTTCTATTAATGCCTTAATAACTAAAATATTATTAAAAAGGTAACTAATATGTTTTTAACATATGAATCAATGGTTCCTAACACATAACCATATTGTTTTTGTTATATTAATATTATTATAATTAAATGAAAATTTTAACCCTTTTCCCACTCATCAAGTTTACATGGATAAATGACTACTGTTGCATCAACAAAAAAAGAGTGCTTCCTGTTATGGACTAAAAAGTAAATATAATTCATTCTGATTTCTATATCAACTGTTTTATACAAATAGCAATGTACTTTTATCTAAAAAAGAAATGTATTTCCTATCTAATATAAAATTTTTGAGCTTCCTATATACTCTCTAATCTTTGTTTAATCATTGTCTTAGCCATATCTCTTTCCCTTTTCCTTACACTTTCTTCAACCTTGTTGTATTCTTTTGCAAGCTCAAGAATCTTGGAAGCAATTTCATTAGTTTCAGGTAATATCAACTTTGCAACATATTTACATCTAAGAAAATTTATAGTTTCTTTTTTAGCACGGTTTTCTTTTCCAAATCCAGAATTCCATTTCCCATCTTTTTCTCCCATATAGGTCTCCATATGTCGCATCGTGAACACTCCACAATCTACTTTATTTTTTTTGGTTCGCCAAATCATTCTAATTCTTTTAGCCTTAAGGTTTTCATCACTCATTTATTCTGCTTTTGAATGGTTAATATCATTAAGATATAAACCAAATTTTTTTTTCTGTTAATTAAAAAATATAAAAAATTTAGATATATAAATATAAAAAAATATAATTAAAAAAAATTAGAAAAAAATTTGAAGTATACTTACAAGATTATTAACCATATTACCATATCTTCCTTCAAAATTATTTTCACCTGCTGTACTGTTATCAAGTACATCTATACTTGTTTTAGATAAATTGAGCACAATAACATATATATGAAAACCTTGAACAATAGGAAAGAACACCTGCATTTTATTTTTAATATTATAATTAAATAAAATATAATTCAAAATAAAATTATCAATAACAAATAGTTTTATAACATACCAAATCAATTCCTTGCAGATTTCTTCTATTCTTGTCTTCACCAATATCACATTCAAAATTACTTTTAAAAATTTGATATTTTTTTATTCATCCATTGTTGTTGAAGTGATATAGAAATTCTGAAACAAAAACAGTATATAAATTTAAACATTAGTTGTTTTTAAAACAAAAAAAGTTAAACACATGTAATTTGCATGTAAATTCGTATGTAAATTTCATGTGATGTAAATGTTAAACACATGTAATTTGTATGTAAATCACATATGTGATTTAAATGTGAATCACAATCACATGTAATTTGTATGTAAATTGCATGTGATTTAAATGTTAAACACATGTAATTTGTATGTAAATGACATATATGATTTACATGTGATTCACATGTAATTCATATGTAAATTACATGTGAAACACATGTAATTCATATGTCATTTATCACATGTAAATCACATATGTTATTCACATTTAAATCACATATGAATTACATGTGATTCACATGTAAATCACATATGAATTACATGTTATTCACATGTAATTTACATATAAATTAGATGTGATTCACTTGCAAATCACATATGTGATTTACATGTAAATCACATATGAATTATAGGCCTGACAATCGTGTCGTATTCGGGTTGGCGTGTCGCGGGTTTGCGGGCTGGCGGGTCAAAATATGCCAACCCAAACACGACCCATTTAAATATACAGGTCACGGGTTGGCGGGTCACGGGTTGACGGGTTTGGAACATAAACCCATATATGACCCGCCAACCCATTTATTTATACGGGTTCACAGGTTGGCGGGTTCGTGGGTCAGATTTGGGTTCGTGGGTCAGATTCTATAAATAAACTTGACAATTAAACATTATTAAATTCTTGATGGTTGATGCAAACATATCCGAATTTTAGACACTTAAGTCTTAAACATTCAAATGAAAATTAAAAATATTCATAGAAACATGTTCAAACTAAACATTAATACAAACATAGATAATTCAAGTGGTGTATGAATCAATGGTATATATATTATATAATACTTATTAAATATTAATACTTGATACATAAATACATTTAAAAATAAAACATAATTTTTTTCATTAAAAATATAAACGGGTTGGTGCTTCAACCCGTTTATTTTTTGAGAAACCCATATATGACCCGTTTAATAAACGGGTTAGCGGGTTGAAAAACTCAACCCAAACCCATTTATTTCGTGTCGTTGTTGTGGGTCGTGTCGAGAATTGCGAGCCCTAATGAATTATATGTGAAACACATGTAAATCACATATGTGATTTACATATAACAGATGGAGAATCACATGCATCTGATTAAAATATTGTGTTTATATATACTTACAGTCACTCCTGTTTTGCAGAAAACTCTGTTTAGTGAAGACTGATTATTCTTTTGAAGCTCAATATGATTTAGCAGATCTGACCATGAGTCAATAACACTAGAAAAAAGTTCCATGTTTGCAAACAAACTTTCCATCATGACTCTTTCTATTTCTATTCCAGACTTTGAGATAATAACTGCATCACTGTATATATAAAAATAAAAATAATTCTTTTAAGATTACATTAAAAATAAAATTTGTTACCTTGTTTCTCCTTTAAGATTAAATAATCATTGACAAATCATAAATTCTTCTTGAGTTAATTCTGATTTGACATCAACAATGACATCAACAATTCTATTTTTGTTATAAACAAATTTTAATTTTTTTTGCATTTTGTTCTTGAACAAATGCAGAAGATGTTTGAATTGTATCAACTGCAGAATATGTTTCAATTGTATGAACTGCAGAAGATGTTTGAATCTCATCAACTGCAGAAGGTGTTTGAATTGTATCAACTGAACAAGATTTTTGAATTGTATCAACTACAGAAGATGTTTGAAGTGTATCAACTGCAGAAGATGTTTGAAGTGTATCAACTGCAAAAGATGCTTGAAAAACTTTTTGATTTGTTGCCAATTTAGATTTCTCTCTTCTTTTATATACAAATAGTGGTTTTTGACAAATTGTATTTGTCAACTCAAAAACAATATCCTCCCTTTCTTTCTTCATATATACAAACTTTTCCTTTTTCTCCTCCTTCTTTTTCACCTCCCTCTTTAAAATTACAATCTATCTCGTTCACCGAAAATTCATCAGGATCAAATTCGGCATCTATTTGCTCATGTTGACTTTGCTCTTTTCCCAATAAATGTTGAACAATTTGTCCATCAATATGTTCAAAATTATCAATTAAATTCTCCATCGTGTCTTCCTCAAAAAATCTTTGGGAACAAAAACAAAATCAAATAATATGTTTTTCCATTCTTTCAAATTTTCATCACTTGGATATTTCAAAAGAGCCTCCTTAAGTTTCATCAACATTTTACTCTTTTTCACATTAATTGATTCAAACAAATTTCCCAAACTTGACAAGTAATCCTGCATATAAAAAATATAATACAATTTATTAATATAAAAATTAACATATTAAAATAAGTTATATTTCATTCACATATGAATAATATGTGATTAAGATGTAAATGAGATGTAAAATTAGTTATGATTTTTACATTTAAAATATATTTCTAAATAAAAATATCATTCAAATAGAAAATGTTTTCTTAACTAAATTTAATAATAATTAAACATAAATGTATAATAATAAGATCTTTACCTCAACTTTTTTATCCTTTGTATTTTGTAGTCTTTGAAGAACCTTTCCGGTTCCAAACATCCCAACTTCAATCTCACGCTTTTCTCTCTGACTCAATTTGTGAGAATTCCAGCTTTTTATTGCTGGACGTAGACGAGCAACATATTGCCCATCAAATTCAACATGGTCAACATACAATAACTGCATACAGAAAAATTAATTTAAAATTATTTACATAGTAAATAATTTATTTAGTATTCAATAATATAATTTTAATATAAGAGTTTTCATTAAAGTTTAACAAATGCAAGTTTTTCTAATATACTTTTTGGTAAACTTTTTTTTCTGTATAGAGAGCTGTATACTTGATATATTAACATCTTGGCGTTGTTCAAAATAATTTTATAATTTACATGTGATTCATATGTTAATCACATGTGATTTGCATGTGTATCACAAAAAATTCATATGTAATTCAGTTGTAATTTACATACAAATTACATATGATTCACATGTTAATCATATGTGATTTACATGTGATGCATATGTTATTCATATGTGATTTACATTTGAATCATTGCATACTTGATAATGTGAATTACTACATAGAAAGTAAAAATTATTTAATATTTTTTACATCATATACATTGTTGATAACACAATATTACCAGTAAGTATGTGACTGGTCCACTGAAATAACTCTTGTCTTTGGATACTGAATATGATCTCTTCTTTGTAATCAAAGATTCAATCATATAAGAACACCAATTGATCTTCGAAAAATCTGTATCACTTGATATTTTTTTCAATATCTTATCATTTATTTTCCCCATGCCTGTACCTTCAACAAGTGTGTTACAAAACAACACAATGAAATTTAATTTGAAATTGAAATCAACTTCTTTTGTTGAAATAATTGCATTCACGATATCTTTCAATCTGATGTTCTTTTTATCAGCAAATTGGTTTATCCACCTATCATAACATTGATCATCTTTAGCTCGGAATGGAAGCTGATCCACTTCTTTTTCTCTAATTGGAATTCCTAACATCTCATTTACACTTTGACTATCTACCTTAATTTCATTGTTCATAACTTTTAATATCATCTTTTCATAATCAAAGTTATGAACAACATAATAGCTAAGTCTTGAAGATAAATCGTCAATTTCCAACTTCAATAAACTTTTAAATCCAAGTTCTTTCACACATTTCTTCTGCTCAAAACTAAGCTTCTTAATAATCTTAAACATTGAATTTGGTGATGATCTGATACGTAATGTAGAGAAATTTATTTTGTTATTATTCAAAGATATCAAAGACGAAGATACTTTCTTCACTTTCTTTAATTTCAATTGAATTTGCTCTTCTTTCACACTTCTGTTTTGATTCATCTAAATCATCTCTTCTTCTTTTATCCATCTTCATTCTTGAAAAATATTTTCCTAAAAAAATAATTGAAAAGAAATTTGAAATGAGTTACTTAAGTTTTTTTCATTATATTTAATTTACATGTGAATAACATATGATTATCATGCTAATCATATCTGAATCACATATGAATAACAACGTCATTTACATCTGAATCACATGTATTTTACTCACATATGAATAACAATGTCATTTACATCTGAATCACATATTCTTTTAAATGTATGAAAGAATTTACATATTAATCCCATATTTTAATCAGATGTGAATTAGATATGAATTGAATGTGGATAATATATAAATAACTTGTGAATATATAAATTAGATACAAAAACACAAGTTAATTATATTTGATTCACATGTGAATAAAATATGATTCTCATGCTAATCAAATCTGAATAACATATGAATAACGATGACAATTACATCTTAATCACATCTGATTCTTATTTGACTTATATACTGAATAGTATGTGGATTACAAAAGAACATCAAATGAGTTACTTCTACCGAGTTATGTTTGATTCACATTTGAATAATATGATATTAATATGAAAACCAGATTTAAACCTAGTTATGATTTAGATGTAAAATATATTTTTAAATAACATGTGATTCAAATCTAATAAATTATTTAATGACGTGAAAATCACAGGTTAACATTAACCACACGTTAATTATGTATATTCATTTGCAATTATTTACCCTTACTTGTGATTATGTATATTCGTCTGTTAATAAAATATGAAACAGATTATTTACATTTAAATCATGTCTTATTGAAAACCCTAAAATCAAAAACAATACGCAATACGCATTTGGGATAAAATAAACAAAACAGCTTAGGGTTTAAGATTTTCATCAGTGATTCAAAAATAAACTTATTAAAATAAGAATAAAGAATTTATTACCGATTTTAACACTGTTGAAATCTGATTTTCTTTCCCAAACGTTGACTTCGGTTTACAAGAACAATGGAAGCACACCCTTTTTCCGGTTTACAATAAGAATGAACAGAATCCGAGAAATGAGGATCAATATGAATAAATATAAACGATGGAATATAAAGAATCGAATTTAAATATAATATAAATTTTTTTAGATTTAATAAACGTCAAAATTTTTTGTCGTGACTTCTAAAGAATAAGACAAAATTATTATTTTAATATAACTGTATAATGTTTATTTTTAATTTTAAAATTTTCTATATAATAAATTATTTTTTCAGAGTTTATTTTATTAAATTATAATAATTAAAATAATTTGTAATTTTAAATTAAAATATTCTTAATGATATTTTAGTTATAAAAATATTTATGAATATAAAAAATTTCTTTACTATATCTCTTATTAATATGTTTTTTTAAATATTATATAAAACACATTTGATTTATATAGTATAAAATATACCAAATTTATAGAATTCATATAAAATTTTCTTTTAACGTATTCCATCATATGTATATAAGTACAAAATTAAATTATTATAAAATTTAATTATATTATTCCTATATTTTTGTTTCATATTAAAATTCATCCGATAATTCAATTCCTTAAACAAACAAAACGTCGCCTAATTCAATCAAGATTAAAATCAAATTCTACTACGCTGCATAGCAAAAATCGTTGAAGAACAACTACGCGGAATAAACCTCCTCTTCGACCAAAAGCTCTCCCGGAAACAATCACAGGTTCTTCTATTTTCATCAATGTTTTGAAATCCTTATTTTGTTCTTGTTATTAATGTTCATTAAATCTAAATACATTTTTTCGTTTGTCCGTAACTTGTGTTGCAGTTTTCATCTACATAATCATCGACATATATACAAAAATAGAAAAATCCGGAACCCTAGAAATCAAGCGAAATGGAATTTTCAACATCTTCAGATGAAGATTTCAACGAAAAAATAGCTACTATTACAAATACAAAAGGTATTTAAATTATTATCTTTCATTAGCATCTGAATCATACATAATAAATAAATTATTGTATATGATTAACATCATAATAACTTGTGATTTAATGTGAAATAATTTACAATAAGAAGTTAATCAGTTTTTTGTTAATTATATTTTATTCACAGCTGAATCAAATGTTATAAAGGTGTAAATCACAGATGAGCTTGTTGCGTTAATTGTATTTGATTCTAATGTGAACAATATTTTAATTGAATATGTAAATCACATGTGAATAACATTATAATAAGAATTAAATCAGAAAATCAAATATATGTTATTTACATATGATTTGGATTTGATTGAAATCTAAATCAAATAATGAATTATATGTTATTTAGATATGAAGTACATATTTATGTTTAAATATAAATCAACATGTTAAACTTTATATTATTTTATCTTATAGATAAAGGAAAAAAGAAGAAAACTATTGAAGATTCAACAAAAAAGAAAGACCAAGATAGAGTGAAAGTAATAAAAATTGGTGGAACATCTGGAGAAGGATCGAATTTACAAAAACAAAATAAACCAGAAAAATGTGGTACTTCAAAATGCAAAAAAATTGAAAAGAATAAAAAAAAGAAGGACAAAAAAGTAGACAAAATAAATGGAAGTTCAAAAAAAAGAAAAAAATCAGTTGAAGAAGAAAAAGAAGATGAGGATTGTTGTCATGTTATAAAGAGAAAGAAGAAGAAAATTTCATTAGATAAAAATCTTTATGGAATGAAAAATAGATGTTCAACAGAATCTTTATTTTCAGTTATTCAAGGTTTAAGCAAAGAACAACAAGATTGTGTGAAGTCTATGGGTTTTGGTAGTTTACTTAAAATGAAAATATCAGACGTACCATCAAGAATATCATTCTATAGGGTAAATAGCTTTGATAGAACACGAATGGTTATAAAAGTAGAGAAAGGAGAGATTATGGTAACAAGAGAATCAGTTAATGAAATGCTGGGAATTCCAATGATTGGAAAAAGAATTGAACAAATTGGTTATAGAGATCATTCAGATACATGGTATAATAATTGGGCTATACAATTTGATGATGTTTCAAATTTGAGAATGACACAGTTACGAAATTCAATTGTGTGTACATCATTAGCTGACATGAATTTCAAAATGAATTTCACAGTTCTGTTTGTGAATACTGTTTGTGAATCAAGTTCAAGTGGTGCATGCAACATTAACATATTAAAGCACATATCAAGTGGAACTGATATCAAAAGTATTGATTGGTGCTCATATGTTTTGGATTGCCTCATCAACACGAGTAGTTCATTTGAACCTTACAATGATAAAAAATACTTTTTTCGGACCTTCTGCATACCTCGTGGTAAATTAAAATTCCATATTATACTTTAAATATAATATTTTATTATTTATTTATAAATAAATTATTGATTTTACTATTTTGTATATATGCAGTTGTTGTATCTTGATAGTATTGATTCTGATGAATTAAAGGTTGAACGTACAAGACCAGTCATTTGTTATTGGAGCTCAGAAAAGATAAAATATCGTGAAAATCTGGAAATGACTATTGGAAGATTTGGTTTTGGAGATATAAATCCTCCTTTTGTAACAGAAGATTGTAAACAATCTTTTGTTGATTTTGGAAGTGATTTTGAATATAATGAAGAATCAATTGAATGTAATCTCGAGGTAAAAATTTATTTATTTAACTTATGCTCATCTGATAAAATGTTTTTGTTACTATAATATAAATTACATTTGTTGTAGGATTATGAAATTCAAATACTGAAGCTTCTAGATCGTGGAAGTTATTGCAAGAGAAAGATGATTTTATTAGTTGATAAAGCAATATCAAAGTTTCCTGGCATACAAAGTTTACAAGAATTAAAAAGTAGAGTGCAAGAATTTTTGGGACTGAGTGTTTCCACTCGAATGTCAATAATAAGAATGAAATTTCAGAAACATATAAAATTGATGATGCTTTGTTTAAAAAAGAAGTTGCTGTCCATGTTCATTATAAAGTTGTTAAAGAAGAATGTAACGCCTGTAGATCCGGGCTAGTCAATTTAGAGACGATAAGCATCAAAAATGACTTTTTGATGGAAAATTATTTAGAAGGATCAATCTTAACCAAGTTGTAGTATATGTCTCAAGGTTTCCGGATATATAAAGAATGCCGAAATCCGAGTTATAACGAAGAAGTTATGACCTGTCGGAGTTTCGCGACAAACCGACACGGTGCCGAATGTCGTAAAAAGTGAGTTTTTGATAAACTACTTTTTAGCCTTAGTGATATAAACGAAAGTCGTAGTGCTCGTTAAACCGAGAGTATGTATAAAAAGAAACGCCCAAATCTGACTTCGTATGAAGAAGTTATGATTTTTCGAAGTTTCAGCTTAGCAGTAGACAGCTAAACACTCGAATTTTAGATCGAGTGATTTTTAGCCGACACGACCTAAACGAGAATCGAAGGTCTCATCATTAGTAGTACAACAGTAAAAAGTCTGACAAAAACGGACGTCGGATGAAGAAGTTATGAATTTTTAACGGATTTCCTGTCCCGGTCTGTTAAAAATAATAATATAAAAATAAAAGTCAAAATTAGCCGACGAAGTCTAAATGAAAGTTGTAGAGCGTAATTTTACCTACGCGTGCATATAAAGAACGTCAAAAACGGAGCTCGTATGCGAAAGTTATGAATTTTAGAAGTTTTGGCGCGAAAGCCGAGAAATTTCGCATAGGTGGCTTCGGCCACGTCACCTTCGCTGAAGGAGTGCCACGTGTCCGAAATTGGTGAGTCATGCGAGCCACGTATCCGAATTGCTGAGTCACCCGAGGCCAGCTGGCGAGGCGTGTCGCTTCCGGATTCGACTGAAGTCTCGGCCCTCGCACATCCGACGCGTGTACAGTGACTCTTCGATCCGAGCTTCGCTGGTCCAATCCGAAGATGCCGCGTGTCGTCGCGTGTACGAGCCTCGCACGAGCCACCTGGAGCCTCGCATGCGAGCCACCTGCTGCCACCTGCCCC